AACTCAGGTTTCACCCTGTTCTAAAATAACTAGTAAAATTTTTTCGTGTAACAATCACGATGATCTATAGTAAAATGCTATAAATTTTAACAAAAATTAAAATTAATAAAAAAACGCTCTATTAGTTTAAAATACAGGATCTGTTGAGTAATTGAGCAAATTTTTTAAGCTAGTTAATATGTAACTTACAGAGGAGATACGATTTGAAATTTGATAATTTTTCATAGTCGTTTCATATAAGATTTTTAAACTTCAAATTGTATCTCCTCTGTAAATTACATATTGACTATTTTGAAAATTTTGCTCAATTGCTCCAGAACTTATATTTTAAACTAATAGAGTTTTTTTAAAAAAATTTTTTTATTAAATTTTTATTCGATTTATTGAAATAATCTATTCGTCACCGGCGATGACAGTACCCGGGTTTTATTTATAGTTATATTTAGGGTTGAAAAGGACATAAAATATAGTAAAATCATGTAATGAATATTTTTTGTTAAAACACGGAAGTTGATTTCATAAGCATAATTTTGAGTTATTTTGATTTTAAAATTTTTGAGATTTTTGTAACTACCAGCGACAAATAGATTCACCCATATTTTATTAACAATGATCAAATAGTTTACACAAAAATTGTCTATTCAAACATTCGTATAGGACTATACATAAATTTGATTCATCGAATACCCCACTGTTACATCTAAACCACCTCTTAACGGTTTGATGTAACCGGCACCGATATATAAGGGTCTAATGTTCAATAATAATTTAGAGTGAAATACCAGTGTATAGGATAGAGGCTTTATGTACTAGTGATTGGCTTTCGAAAGAGGCGTCACTGCTAAATGTATATAAAGATACATGCAGTCATCTAAATTTATCAATACGTAAAACTATACGAACTTAATGTTCACTTTGGGAATGTGAAGACTTTCACAGTAATCACGTGATCAATATCGTTAATTTATGAAGACATAGGTATCAGATGTTGTTAATTAGTGTATGAAAACACAAATACTTATTTTAATAAATGTGAGTTTTTTAACTGTTGATTCCCTGAAGACAGGGTTGGCACATTTGTCCATTGGGGTGAATGGAGAACAACTCCATTGGAATCACTCCATTGCTCCATTGAAATGGAGCCAATGGAGGCCAACTAGCTTATAATATAGTATTTGTTAATAACTAATAACTAATTCCATTGGCTACATTGGTTCCATTGACTCCATTGGTTTGCAATTTTTTCAATGGAGTATATCCATTGCCAATCCTGCCCGAAGAAGATAAATAATTATTATATCTATCAGCTATACTATATCTTATCTATCGAATAAATATGCGTGATGTGATATATCTGATATATCTGATATATATGATAAAGATAAAATAATTAAAAATGATAATATATTGACCACATCCTTTATTAGATCTATTAGCATCATCTTTCGCTTTGTGCTACACAAAGTCACGTTTCAATGTTCATGTGAGATCACGATAATTTTGGGTCTAACAATACCTAAACTACTGGAATAGTATAATGTTGAAAAAAAGAAAGATAGAATATATTTATAAATAAGGCCATTAATACATAAAAAAAAAAGTTTTTTTTATATATCACGAATTCTATTATAACATATCACTCAACAACTTCTAACGACTTTTTCGTTCCTTTCGGGCTGCCTTGTTTGTATAAAACATCGCTAAATCCGCAAACTTTATAATACGCGTTAGTTCCATCTGGAAATGGAGAATATCGACGTGTCCAACTTTCATCTTCGATCCGGAATGTTACTAAAACATCTAGAGTTCTTCCCCAAGAATCATAGCAACCTGGTTCAATCAAGTAAAATTTTTCGCTTCCTCCGGTCCCTGCCTTAGCAGATATTCGAATGTTACCATTCGTGGCATTTTCAAAAACTAATGCCATCTTTGAATAAATCTTGAATTTGTAAACTCATTTCAGTTCACTTTTATAATTTAATAAATAAATTTCATTGGTAGTAATATTTTGATTTTTACCTTAATGTTAGAAATATAAAAGTTACACTGTTTGAAAATTTATCTACTGAAACTGAGGTTGTCCGACAAATTTGTTGTCAACCTACAATAAAAATGCATTAGACACAAGAACATAATAATCCTGTCCTTAAAACAAACCATTACAGCTATTATCGTAAATCTTGAAACAACTAAAAAAATTCCATGACTAAATTGATAAGTTACCGAGTTGGAATAAGTTGCTGACTTCGACCGACATCAGAATCTTATTGATTCGGTCATCAACAGTTTCTCAGTTGTCTCAGAATTTATGATGATAGCTGTAATGTGGCTATTGTTAGAGAACAATCACCGTAATATGCACCAATTCGGTTCCAATGCTACTTTTTCAAAAGAAAGGCTTTAAAAAAAGATCACGGAACAGGAGTTCAATCTTTTATAGGATTTCCTACCAAAATCGTATCCCAATCAAATTTGTATATTTTGTTTGATCTATCTTGTCATATAGTGACCAAATCTTGATGATTTTGATACTATTCAACACGAGGATTTACATGGTACCAAGATCAGATTACGTACGTACGTACGGTGCGGGAAATCTAAAAACCTCAATCACTTTATACGTATAGAACAAAAACGGCCTATTAAGTACTTACATATTATTCCTGGCATATGATTTCTATGCCCATCACTCTATTGAGATCGATAATTTAAGAAATTTATTCTCAATGATCTAGTAGTTTATGCATCATCTTAAAATGAAGATTGAGGTTTTTAAATTTCCTGCACCATACGTACTAAAATCTCATATATAGAGATAAATGCAGTGACACATTGGAGGGAAATTTCTTTAATTATCAATCTCAATAACCTCTTTGTATGAAAATAATATGCCAAGAACAAAGCAACTATTTTATGAAGAAACTTAATATAAGCCACTGCTGAATTTAGCTTATCTACAATGTGTTAATTGTATATAAAGTGATTGAGGTTTTTAGACGGATGCAGGAAATTTAAAATTCTCAATCTTCCTATATAGAAATATCCAACTGAAAAATTAATTTCTTAAATTATCAATCTCAATAAGTAAGGATCTAAAGAATTTCCAATCTCTATGCATAGGAATAATACAACAAGAAAATGTAGAATTCCTAATCACGTAATCGAAAAGACCACTTCAATCAATAATAGATACAGGTCAACGAATGTGAAATCTGATAGCCTGAGAAATTCAAGTGCGACGACAGATAAATCAGTAACCTGAAACGTACGGCTTACAATAAGAACAAGCGAATATGTGAGGTATTACAAATTAAAACAGCCTTTGTAAATCATTTTGAGTAAATCGGATTTATCGCGCTTTTCAAATTACTGTGTCCGCTGATTTTCATACATCACACTGGGAATCGAAAAGCGCGATAAATACTGTAACTGTTACAGTATTTAAATCCGATTTACTCGAAATGATTTACAAAGGCTGTTTTAATATGTAATACCT